GGGGGGGGGGGGGGGGGGGGGGGGGGGGGGGGGGGGGGAGTGGGGTGAGAATTGAAGACTACAGGAACCAGGAGCACTATTCAGGTGACCCTGAGGACACAGATAAACCTCCAAGTGCTTCAATGACCCTTTAAAAGGATGCAGCTGTCTGCAAGGAATATAAATCCTTCCATTCCCCATTATCCTGTCAGAGCTGAAGAAGCTTCTTGTATGAGAAGTGAAACATCTTCAAAGAAAACAAGAAAGTCCTGTTGCCTCCTGAAAAGGCACCTTTGGGACTTATAAATGCATGGTTTTTGAAATCCCAACTTCAGCCCATATCACTTTAAATTTTTTGTTGAGAGAGGCTACTTGAAAATATAAATTGAACAAAATTAATTTTATGTTTTCATTTCTAAGTAGTAATCATAATTAGGTATTTTAGGACTGATGAATTGCCCTACATCTGCAGTGCAACAAACACTATTTTGAATAGCCACATATTTCAGCAGAGTATTGAAGATTCTCTTGGATTCCATGAGGATCTATTCTAACAGACGTTCAAACACTTACAGAATTAGTTGTTAAGTGATACAAACCTGCTCCAAAATACAAAATACAATTCTGGCTACATTTTGGGAAGAATGGAAAATACAAATGACAAAATACAATTCTGGCTACACTTTGGGAAGAATGGAAGAAAATAACAGTCTGGGAATTACTTCTTATATGATAAGAAGAAAGAATGGAAGGGAGGAGAATTTTGTTTGAAATAAAATTAAATTCTAAAATAACCTTGGCAATGTATTTTAAAGAAATGCTAACTGACAAAAAATAAATTACTTGATCAACTTTTTCAAATAAGCTACAAATAATATGTAATGGTAACTTTAAAGTAGAATTGGAGACAAATCAAACAATTCAGTTTGATATACTACCTTTAATTCTTCAATAGCTTTCTGCAGTTCATCTGGTGTTTTGTATTCAAAATCCCTCTGCAGATATTCATCTTCTGCTTGTGTAATCCACTCATGCATTTCTGACAAATCTTTTTGTAGACTTACAGTCTTATCCAAACTGTTATTCAATGCTGCTTTCTTAGCATAGGCCTTGCATTAATAATAATAAAAAAGAGTTATTTTTCCTCAAAAAATCCTGAAATGTTTAGAACATTTATATTTCAAATATTGCCATATGTATCCCTAAACACTGACAAGTTTCTGGAAGAAAAATGCATACAAAAGTAACAAGTTACTTCGTTACACAAAGGAAAATATAAACTCTTCTTCTAGTCAGGCTACTTCTACTGTCCACTTAGTAGAAAAGGGAATGGAAAATTCAAGAATCCATATTTTGCATTCATTTCCTATTTTGTTTGAGGATATTATTTCCATAAATTTAGAAATGAAGACCTGCCACAAAGATGACAAGTAAATGCAGTCACATCATGGGAAAACTATGAATTGTGCATTTTCATATAGTACAACATATAGTACACATTATTTCTCCAGTCTGTATTCCTAATTAAACAATATCAAAACATCCAAAAGTTTACTATCAAATTTATGCTGTAGCATTGCCTGTTCCAGATTAATCTTGTTTTCATTTACTATTACTCTTTTGAGAAAATAAAGCTTTTCTCAGAGAGATGCTTTTAACAGACATAAAAAACTAATATGCTATAATTTGGAGCTCCAAGTTATTTATTACTGAAATTTTAGTTTTGGATGTATAACTGAATTGTAATGGCACATATGTGATTTTTCTATACTTATAACATTAAAATATTTTGCGCTAAGTGAAAGCCAATGAAGATATAAAAATCAATTATATCCTGCTATATATTATTCAAAATGTTTTGTGTATATCATTATTCTTTAATCTCTGGTCTTTCAAAGTATTGTACTCTGGAAGGAATTAATTATTTGTTTATCTCATTTATTATTTAGCATGCATTTATATACAGTATAGTTATTAAAGATATATTATTCTGAATGATATATTCTTACTTTTCACATTTGTGTACCAAGTAGAGAAAATTATATTAAATAGCACTCTGGAATTTAAATAAATTAATGCTACATATCCTAATAGGCAGAATACCTGCTGGCAAATACTATCCCATTCAGCATTCAGTGCTTTAAGATCAGTCTGTAATTTGTAAGAAAACTCTGGCTCTGTTTCCTTGTTCATTTTTTGTCCAATCTCATTAACACTATTCAAATTAGGCTGGATTGTCTGGATGTCATTCACCAAAGCCTGATAAGGAAAATATATCAATGTATAACAAATCTCCAGGATGTCAAAATATGTTACATGAGTCAATAAATAAAACATAAAATGTTATGTTGTATTGAATAATTATATAAACAGAAATGCAGTATATAAATTTAATGAGGAAAAAATGAAAATGGATATATTAATACATACTTATTCTGAATTGTCCATACAAACTGACAATTTTAAGAACAGTTTCACTACATTTCTGCTACCCATAATTTAAAGGGAAGTACTCAATTTTATTTTTTATACATGCAATTTTAACCATATTGAAAAAGAAAAGAAAACACTATTTTAAATGGTCTTAATACTGAAATTAAGACCATTTAAAATAATGATAAAATGAAAAAAATGTCTACAATAACCCAATAGAAGCCATAGCTGCATAGATATCTAACACACTTTTCCTAAACAGACATATAAACCCACATATACAAAATATAAGTAACTATTTGTACAATAGTTATGCATATGATATTTACACCCAATGAAATAGAGCATAAGATGGAAACTTACTGTATACTGTTCTAATTGTTTCTCTAGTGCTTCTAAATCTCCAAGTGCTGGCCAGTCTTCATTTAGAAAAATATTCACTTCAGCCATCCATTTTTTCAGGGTTTTTGTGTCATTCTGGTTTTGAAAAGAGAGCATTGCACTGCATGAAAGTATGCCATTTTGACTAAATTAGGGGATAATTTCAACTATGTATCAAAAAATATTTTTAAAAATAAGAAAAATAAAAATAAATAACTATATTAATCACATATATAAGTGTCCTTGTATCAAAAATAATAACTTCTTACTTCTAGTTTTTAAAATATACTTCAGTGTTTGTGTGTTCTATGCAAATAAAAATACACAAACACACATGTTATAGTTTATCAATAGCATAGCAGCCTTCAATAGCTTTTTAGAAAACTTGTTTGTTTGCCATTCTACAAATTAAGGAAATAAAAACAAGAAAGCTGAAGTCTCTTGGCAATATTATCTAGTAAAATTTAGCCCACAAAAAACAACTTCAACCAACCTGGAACTGCTTCAACTTTGTTATCTGTTCGTCAAGTTTGTGACAATTTTCCACCAGCTGAGTTGATAACTTTTTCCAACTTTTAAGGATTACCTCAATTTCTGACTGGTACTTCTGACTGACCCCTGCAGGAGCTGTCTTAGACATCTCTTCCACAGTTGTGCTTAAATAATCGATTCCATTTTGCTGTTCTTGCAGAGAACTTTGTAAATCCTGTGATATGTGAAATTATCAGTTTCTAGCTTCTATCAAGTCAGGCTAAGAATGATCTTACAATATCTAGCACTCAGGAGTGTATGTTTGAAATCACATTTATAAATAACTCACTGCTTTTACATTAAATTTCAATGTTGATATGCAAGATAGTATTTCTCTGTTTACCTTTAACTCCTTGAGCCTTTTCTCCGCAGTTTCTAAATCTGTGACAGTAACTTCTGGGATGGAGAGCTTTGTTTCTGATTGTTGTATCCACAAGAGAATTGTATTCATAATTTCTTTATACCGTACAGGTGGCAAAATATCAAAAGCTGCACAAGAGGTGAGAAAAGCAAAGAAATCCTGCTTTATTTAATTCAGCAATTCTATTCTACTGTGAATAAAAACAAATTAACACACCTCTTTTAAGATAGATGATAGATAGATAGATAGATAGATAGATAGATAGATAGATAGATAGATAGATAGATAGATAGATAGATAGAACTATAGCTCTCCAATAACCTCCAAAAAGAACTATAGCTCTCCAATAACCTCCAAAAAGAGAGGAAAAGCAGTTTATATTTAGCCAATTCCACTCAGCAAAGTAAATTAAGTCTAGGGTAATTCAGGTCTAGTTTGTCTCCTTTTTTTCTTATTATGCACTTTCCCAATTATACCTTTGCAGTTTATTTAATGTGCTGTTCTTATCTATAAAGATTGAGGGTTTGTTACCTAAAGGTCATTATCCTACTGCCGATAATATTATGCTTATTATTAAATATCAGTCTTTCTGACATCTAATTTCAAGAGGAAAGAAGAAATTATTTCCAGCCCGCTTTCTGCTAGCTTCAGGAATACATCCAGAGGGGCCTGCTTTACCCAAGCATTAGATAATTATAAATATTAGAAAAACTTTAGCACTGGGCTAGACATTGGTTTCATGAAATACATTCCTTAGATTTTCCATCTGTTTCATTATAATTTTTCCAATTTAAGTTGTTTCTGTCCTGTTTCATTTTCTTCCTCTATAGTTTAACTTTCATGTTAATTATTGGTTTTATTTGTAAAAATAAAATGTGATTGGAGTTCTTTACATTTGTTTGTTTCCCTAACTGATGAAACTTCAAAGTTTAGTTCCTTAAAATAGTCCTCCACATATGAATTGCATTGATATAAATAGGTGGTTAGATATGGATTTCCATTACCTTCAGTGTTACATCTGATACAGACACTTCATCACTATCTCATCACTAGCACATTTTATTGCAATAGGATAAACCAAAAGTTTATGGAATTTTTATGAAATACTGTTGTTGCTGAGACAGAAAAAGCAAATATTAAAATCCTGACTCAATTAAAGTAATAAAGATGTTAAAATTCAATTATTTAAAGGAAAGTATACTCCAAGTTCTTAATTTGAGGATCATGGACCCTTTGTGGAGTTCCATCAATAGAGTTCAGGGGGTCTGTGAATTTGGTTGAGGAACTTTTTTTCCACTAGTCTCTAATTGAAATGTAGCTTTTCATTCAATATTGAACATTGGGTAAGTAATTTATAACATCTAGATTAAATATTTGTTAACTTTAATACATCTCACTATGTAAAATTATATGGATTAATAAAGAAGCACATATATTGCTCTATTTCAATACATAATTAATATTCCAGTGTTTTCCCCAAAATAAGACCTGGTCTTATTTTCTTTTGACCTCCAAAATAAGCACTAAGCTTTACTCCCCCCCCCCCCCCATGTACCGGTATGAGGTGAGGGGGTGAAGGCGAGCTGCATCATCATAACTCTTCAAACTCAGAATTCCAGCCTAAATTTCTTGTGACTCCATTTCCTGCAAAACCATTGGTCCCAAGCTCTGATCTCTAGCAATATAGGTCTCCTTAAATGAGCACTTCTTGTCCATGTAGCCTGCTCATAGTGCATTGGCAACACAGGTGTCAGTGATTTTATCCCATGCATTCTTCACCCAAGTCACGACCTCTGGCAGGCTAGGCTTCACAAAGTTTCCACACTGATTCCACTCCATTCTGTTTTCAATATAGTCAAGATTTCCATGTGCAGATGGTCCTTGAATGCCTTATTTATTGTAGTGTCAAGGGTCTGGAGGTATGCCATCATTCCTGCAGGAATCACTATTTGTGTTCCTCCCATCTCCACACATATCCTCACCTCCTCACTTCATGTTGGGGGCACTGCAAGCAACCAGATGAAATGGTGGCTGGCCGGTTGCACAGGCACTTAAGCAGGGCTTATTTTGGGGATAGGGCTTATATTCAGCACATGCATAAATAACATGATAGAGCTTATTTTTGGTGTAGGTCGTATTTTTGAGGAAACACGGTATTATACTTCTATTTCAGCATAATTGAATTTTGTAATAAAACTCAGTATCTATGCAGTTAACTTGTTTCTAAGACATTTAGGTCTTTAAAGATAAAAAAATCATCCCTTTGAACTGGGTTACCATGTTTTCCTGAAAATAAAACCTAATCAGAAAATAAGTCCTACCCTGATTTTAATGTGCTCCTAATATAAGCACTATCCCCCTCCCCAAATAAGCCCCAGTTAAGGTCAGCTGGGGATTCCAGGGTAGGTGGGCATGGCCAGCACCGGAGGCTGTGAGGGTGCAGGGGCCATCAGTGTCCAGCAACAGCTGCAGCCTGTGCAGTGCAAATGAGTTGATTATCTATCCAAGCAGCAAGCAGAGGCAGAGGTGGGGGGAGGCACATGATCGAGATACACCACATGGGCTGCAGGAAAGCTGAGAGTCAGTGAGCCAGAGCAGGTGGGCAGTTGCAGAAGGCTCATCTTTGCACAGCAGCACCAGCAGTAGACAGAGGCAGAGGAATGGGAGGAAGGTAATCCAGATGTGCTGCGTGGGCTACAGGAAAGCCAAGAGTAGGTTGGAGTGAGCGAGCAGTTATTGGAGGCTTGTCTTCATGCAGCAGTACTGGCAGCAGATGGAGACAGAAGCACGGGAGGGAAGGCAGATGATCCTGATGTGCTGCACAGGCCGCAGGCAAGCCAAGAGATGGTGGGATAGAGTGGGCAGCTGGTCAGGAGAGACAAGCAGAGAGAAATGGACAAGCCTCCAATGGCCACCTGCCCACTCGGTCCCACTGTCTCTCGGCTTACCTGTGACCCATGCAGTATTTCAGAATCACTTGCCTTCCCCCCGAGCTTCTTCCTCTGTCTGCTGCTGGTGTCACCGCACAAATATGAGCCTCCCGCTGCTGCCTGCTCACTGTGTCCCACCGACTCTGGGATTTCCCACAGCCCATGCAGCATGTCCAGATTGCCTGCCTCCCCTCCCCATGCCTCTGCCTCTGTCTACTATTGGATAGATAATCAACTCACTTGCAATGTGTGGGCTGCACAGCCCCAGAGTGCACTGACCAAGGGGCCGGCAGGTTGCAACTGCTGCCAAACATTGTTGGCTTCTGCGCGCTCACTGCCTCTTGTGTGCATGCTGGGAGGTGGTGCACCCTGCTGGGCTGATCACCCTGACATTGTGTTTCCCCAAAAATAACTCCTAATGCTTATTTTGGAGCCCCCCAAAATATAAGATTGGGTCTTATTTTCGGGGGGAAATGATAGAAATGGACTGGCAGTGAGTAATGGTGAAATACTGACATAATATATTCATATTAGTCATTCCAGAGAAAAGTCAAACCATTCTAATTTGAATTAATTGAAGTTCCAAACCAATTTCAAGTGTAGTCCCATATAGAACACACTGCAGTAACATTCCCAACTGGGAAATTGCCAGAATGTGAATAATTGTTGTGAGGCTGTCTCTGTCCAGGTAAGTCATAGTTGGTAAATCAATTTAAATTTATAAAAAGTATTCCATGCTCCTGAAATCACCAAAGCGTGGTTTCAGGAGCATGGAGTAGGGTGGGACAAAGGGTGGATCTAGAAGCACCCTCAAACTGTGAGCCTTAAGGCAAGAGAAGACCTAGAACAGGCAGGGTATCACTCAGTTGCACAGATGCACTACCCACAGATTGTTTATCTGGTTTTTTTTTGGATTGAGTCTTAGATAGTTGATCCTCATCCAGTGCATTATTCTGCCAAGTCTAGTTCAAAACTCCAAATACATATTAGATGAAAAGTAGAGCTAGGCATCATTCATATATTTGTGACAAATCAGCCCACATATCTAGATATATTATCTCCCAAGTTTCATGACAACATTAAAAAGCATATAGGATAAATTAGGATTCCAATCTAATCGATTACCAATCCAGCAACCTCTGGAAATAATTTTCCAAGGAGAAGTGAAATCATCATAATACAGTGCTCCCACTTCCTACTCTGACATTTAAAATACCATAGTTGATGATACTGAAATCCACACATAGGAAGATGAACAGGGTAACATTGTTTTTTCTCAACATGGTACTTTCCATAATCAGGTCTTAAACCAGACTGATATGGATCTAGAAAATCTGTTTCATCCGAGAGAGCCTTGAGTTGATCAGCTAACACCCAGTCAAACCCCAAGTCTAGAAAGATAATATTATACATTGGCCTATCATTGTTTTATCACCTGGGTTCAAGTCTTGTAGCCTGGTCATTGTCTCTTTTAAACAGACCAAAAGGTTTTCTGTCTCATTTAGGCATTTACCACCTTCTGAACCCAGTCCATTTAACAGTACTATCCTATTAACTTTGTGATCAACTTCCTATAGTATATTAGATGTTAAATTGCTAATATTAGATATATACCACTTTGAAGTTAATTGTGTAATTGAAACACAGGGAAGTACCGAAACAGAACATGATACCTGCAGAATCTCTAAAATAAGATGATAACAGTACTAACATTTTACATATACAGATTGGACAATAAGAAGTGTAATGACTAGGATCAGTCTATAAGTTGTTAAATTTACAACAAAGGTGATATAACTCATTTTGCCAAGAGCAATCTAATTAGCTTACTGAGCATATTTAATAAATTGTATGTGAGGTATATTTATTTTTAAGTAGTGACTAGAAAATAAAATTATCTTGTATTTGGGACAGATTAACTGCATTCTAATGGTTTATATTACATTGGTAGAAAAAAATAACAGAATCACGCCTCTATGTCATGACGTATGTATTTGCTGAATTAAAATCAGGATTTGTACAATTCCCACAAGAAAGTTATGTGTCAAGTAAGCCCTAGTTAAGTCTAGTGAAATTATATATAATTTTATATCTTTTTTCAAAGATGACTTATGTCTATTCTGCATGAAAGGAGAGAGGGAGAGAGGGATTTGGCTTTGAGATTTGAGCCTGCCTTGTTAGAAGATACAGACTTGAGC